ATGCATGAGGCAGGATTTCATATTGCTCAAATAAGTATTAAAAGAAAAAGCAGAATCTCATATCCACTAGAAACTAAATGAGGCAAAGAGGGGCGGCTGAGGGAGCCTTCTTGCTGCCACAGGACAGCAGGAACAGGGACCTGGCTCCAACACTGGACTGAATGAGAATGAGCCCTCTGCTTGCTTATGAAAATTAAAGCTTTGGTAACATACAGATGGCTGGGAGTATCCCGATCTGCTTGAACAAACCTTTCTTTGTACCATCTGCATTACTATATCCCAATCAGTAACATGACACGAGAGTACTTTAAAATAATTCTGTTAATCTATGTGCCTTTATCTCCAACCCAAAACCATGCACACTGAGCCAATAATCAAAAAATACATTTATTCAGGGTGTGTATGGCAGAGGTGAGGAAGCCCTGGGCTGTCCTTACTCTTCCTCTCCAAGGAGTAGCCCTGTCCTCTCAGTGAGTGGGGTGAAGGGAGGCCCCCCCCCCTGGGCTGCAGTGGCCTCCCCCCACCTCAGATGCTGAGTGTCTCCAGCAGGGAAGGAGGACACAGAGCCCCTATATACACATGTACGTAGCCTGGCCAGCTGTTTTGGGCTTCTGGAAGAGCTGGCTGTGAGTACATGTACAGAGCCTACCACTCAGCCACTGCGCAGGGTGGTATGGGGGTACGTGCAGGGCATATGGTGCAGCTCATCCTGGGGGCAAGTTTGCTTCACCCCTGCCATCTTTACTGCACAGTGGTGATGGTGTTTTGGTGCTGGCAGCCACAGTATTACTGCCAGGGTGCTGTTTGGGGCACTTTTTGTGTTGCCAGCACTCCTGCAGTTAAAACCCTTCCCTAGGATCGTGCTGGTGAAGCCTAACTCTGTTCCAAAGGCTCATCCCCTGGCAGGCATGGCCCAGAGCTGTGCCCAGAAGCAGCAGTAATGGGGTGTTATTATCTTCAATCTAGAGGGACTTGCTCGACAGCTACTACTGAGAGCAGAATGAAACAACACAGCAAGTAAATCATGGTGAAAACTGATCCAGCCCAAGAAAGTTGTGCCTCCTCAGGGCAGGCTCTCCTAGGCGTCCCTCTCTTCCCCCAGGCAGCCCATGTTTGCATAAGGCCCAAAATGCCAGGATATCAATGCGTCTCCCAGCCTTTTTGTGAGAGGAAGCTGGAGGGAATGCTCCCCCCACAGTGGCAGCCCCACCCGGGAGGGAGTGCTCTGCCTTGGCTGTGCTCCAGGAGGCCGAGGCCTGCACTCAGGTGTGGGCAATCAGTGCTGCTGGCAGTCCTTCCCCTCCCAGCAGGGCAGGTGGGCAGACAAGAAGTGCTGGGGGACTCTGGCTGCCTTTCCAGAGAGGCTGCGGTAAATGGTAACTGTCTTGTTGAAAATAATCAGAGTTTTGTAACAGGGGCTTACTTTTCTAATGGGAACATGGTAACGTGGAAGTCTCTAGGAGCACAAGGATGATGCATCTTGAACTGTAAGTTTTGAGTCTCCTCTGTGTGTCATCATTTGCATTTCCTGAGCTTTGGAGGAGAATGAGAGGTGAGGAGGATCGCAGTCCTATGCCTGCCATCTCGCCCCTTGAAATTTTGACTGACCACTGGCAAATAGTAGATGAGGTAGGCAGGCTCACGGACTAGCCTTGGTTGTTTGTTGATAGTTTACAGCAAGCTAAGAACAAGCTACAGTTACTCTGAAAAATTAAATAGCCTTCTTAAACACCTAACCCCCCCTCTTTTCCTCATTTACCTTCTGTTGAAAGTCTCTTTTTTTGTGTGTATGTAGAATATTGAATACAGTCTTAGCTTTTAAAATGTAGCTTACACTGATGCCCAAATGTTCTGGTTTCTTGCTGCTTTTTCATAGTAAGTTTTTTTTTTTCAGAAGCTAAAAGTCTCCTGAGAATAAACAAATTCCAAAGTATTAACATTTGGTTTTATGTTTAGTTAATGTTAACCTTTTGTACTTTCCTGCAAATGCTGATTGAGACTTGTATCTATCACTTCCACTTTGGGGTAATTTGTGTTCTGTCCTCACCCTCCTTTTTTTAAAAAAAAAACATATTTTTGTGCCTTATGTGGAATAACCAGAAAAAAATTCTTTGATGTTCATATGCATACCTCTGTTCACATAAGTATGCCCATTTTGGTGATGCTCTTTCCCCATCTAGACCAGAAATCCTACTCAGAATCCACGCTTGGTTAAGATAACACATACAGACGGACTATCTAGAAAATGGTTTGTTTGTTGCTGGTTTTTTTCTTATAGTTCTTTTGCTTTTAGGATTACAGCTGTAGATTGAAAAAAAATGAACAATTTTTAGTGTAATATATTTAAACTCAGATCATATCTATGACTATACATTTATGTGCTTTTTTGAAGAAGTTATTCATCAGGACGTGCTGTGTGAAAACTTCTAGAAAATAGTGAGGATATATGATTTAAACCATTATAAGTTTCTAGCATCTAATTAAAAAATGAACATCAGTCTTTAACTTGACTGTCTTAAAACCACAGCTTCATTGATGGCTTGGTTTTACAGCATAATTTACAGTGTAATTACTGCTAGTGACTTATCATTAGTTGTAAGGGGAGCGTGTTGAGTTTTTAATGCAAGTTTACAGAGAAGAAAAGGAAGGGAATGTTTCAGAACTTTGCACTAATTCTACATTTCCCTTCCACATTCAGTCCGCAGTATCTTTATATTACTTCTGCACTATGTTAATTGCTGGCAGATTTAAGTGGAAGAAGAGCCTTTAAATGGGATCGGAAGCTACAAGTACTCCAGCTGTGATTGTTATATCCTTGTCTGTTCTAGTCAGTGAAAATACTGATCACGGTAGTATTCTACTACTATGGTTCCCACAAACTGTGCCTTAAGTAATTCTTACTATATATCTTCAGATGGATTGAAATTACCTGAGCTTTCAAAACCCTTTTGCAAGTATGTAATAATGCCATAAAAGGTAAAATACTGCACAAATTATACACTAAGTAGGATAAGAGAGAGCAAAAGCAGGAGTTGAAAACCAAAATCACTGAACATGCTTTTCCAGGTTTTGCTATACTAGCTTTTGCTAGTAGATTTATGAATGCAGAGTGCTAAAAATGAAGGGAAAAAAAAAAAAAGACTAATCATTAGGTAAGTGAAAACTAGAAAGAAACACCACCGAGTGTACAAAGTCATCTGATCCATGAGTTCTTGTAGCCAGAAGGCTTCTGATGCCTGAGGCACAGGCTCCTCAGAACAGGACTTACATCAGAGCAGTAAGTGATCAAGAAGGACAAGGAAAAAATTATGATAGTTCAAAAGAATTTGCTTGCATGTATTATTGACAGTGCTATTCTTTCCAAACTGAATTAACAGCAATTATTTAACAATGACCACAGCCCATATTTGTAAAGATTTTCAGTATTCCTTGGGGAAAAAAACCCCAAAACCAAACCAGTGCATGGGGGTGTACCTGCATAGTTTTTAAAGTGTGAATGATCTGCTGCTTGTTTAGTGTGTATCAAGGCAGAGGAAAGCAAGTGAAAACTCTGGTAGGAAAGGAATGATACCAAAACTAGGAGTTATAAAAACCAATAGGATGCACTTCCCTGGAATGACATATTGTTTTAAGTGATCTCTGATGAAAGGGAAATTGCTAATAAAGAAGCTCAGAGGCATGAGGAATACATAAAGTCTTTCACTGAAACTAAACCTAATAGACCAGGCAGTTTAGAGATGATAAATCATGAACAGAAATCTATCTAGTTACTTCTTGGCTGGTGTTGAACGAAGATACTGAACTGCCGAACTGATCCAACTTGGCAATTTGGCATTCTCATGCCCTTTTGTTTCAGTTCAAGTTATCTTAAATCTGAATTTTAAAGGTGGAAGGCAGTACCTGTCTAAAGTTCAGGAAACGTATTTATGAAATACGGATGCTTACGCATATAAACCAAAAATGGAGGAGGAGAAGCAACTGATTAAAACTGTTGCACAAGCCTCCAAAATAGTTAGCAAGTCGCAGTGTTTAAATCAACTATTAAATATATAGGGTGAAATAGAGGAATGGTTTACTGTATCCTTTTCCCACAGCATTTGAATAGTGCTATTCTTGTTTGTTTTGTCTTGTTTCGTGCCAGATGTTCTTATTGGGGAAAACAATGGTGGTGTGTTTTAATATTGATGAGTTGATTCTCCTGGGAATAATAGTATATCTACCTTCTCAGAATACAAATTGTGGGAGGTTTTTTATAGTGTAATTACCATAATGCTTTGAATTTTCAGTGCAACTCTTTAAAACTGTGAAAGAATTTTCTGTATATTATCTTTCTTCTACCTACTTTCACAGTGACTCTCCTTTTAAAACTATGTATCATGTTTTGTTGGCCTTTGAAAAGTAAACATGTAAATCACCAGAGGTACTGTGTAATCTGTCAAAGTAGCATATGTTTAAGCACCTTATAAAATTGCTCTTTCCAGGGTCATTAGTTTATTAATTTAAACAATTACTGAGTAATTGAAGTACCTTGCTTTAACTTTTTTTTTTTCTTTCTTTCTTTTTCCCTCCAGGAACTTGAAGTCCTGAAATTATAAATGGTTTGGTGAAAAGCTGAGCTTGCAATGCAGGCAATAAAAACCGTGGAAAAAGAAGTGACTTTTATAAAGGAAACACTTTTCACAGAATCCTTCCTAAAGAAAGAAGAGTACAGCAGAAGCCCAGAGAGCAGACAGCTCCACGAGCAGCAGCCATTGGAAGGAGCTGTCTGCAGCTCTCAGTGCTGTACTGAGCATGTCCCAGCGGAGCCCAGTGCAAGCAGCACATTATGCAAAAAGGCAGCTCTAGCAGATGGGAGAGAGGCACAGCAAGCGTTTGCTTCACTTGCATCAGCACCGCTTGAAAACAAACCTGGATCACTAGAGGGGATCTCACCAGCAGGCCAAAGGTATGAAATTCGAGAGCATGGCTTGATTGCTGAAGGTCTTGTACTGCGAAAAATCATGGGGAATCAAGATGGGAAGCTAAAGAAAAACACAGGTGATGTGCATGAAGGAGGGGAGGATGCCTCTGGGCCCAAGGATACAGACAGCACAAAGAAGGTATCAGGCAGCAGAAGGGGACTGGGGAAGCATGCAAAAGGAAGTGAATCTGGTAAGAAGAAGGGTAAATCGGACTCGAGGGCCTCGGTGTTTTCAAATCTGAGAATCAGAAAAAATCTGTCCAAGGCTAAAGACGGGAATAGTAGTTCACGGGAGGATGTTTTGGAAAGCCAGGCCCTGCAGGCTGGAGAGCTGGACAGTACTCATTCAATTGTAACCAAAACTCCAGATATAAGCATCTCTGCAGATGAAGGGGGTCTCTCAGACACAGATGTGGAACATTTTGAAATCAGAAATGAAACTGTCCCAGCTGCTGCAGAGACACAGGATGGACAAAGAACCAGCTCTGGCTCTGATACGGATATATACAGTTTCCATTCAGCCACAGAACAAGAGGATTTGCTTTCTGATATCCAGCAAGCTATTAGACTGCAGCAGCAGCAGGGTGCAATTAACATTGGAACTGAGGACGTTGTCACCAAAACAATGGGCCAACACATGGCTAATTCGCAAGCAGCCCCCTTAGATTTTGAACGGTTTCTTTCAGTAACTGCCACTGACAAAGTGGGGAGCCCAGACACTGAGGGGGCTTTTCCAGCGATATCTGAAATTGTGGAAAACATTCCCATCTCCGGTGCAACTGAACATGAACTGAAAGGGGTGGTAAAAGGCACAGGCTCTCCTGGTAATGGCTTATTTGAAACACAAGAACGTAAGCTATTGATTGAGGAAGAAGAACAGCTCGTTGCTGGAGTGGATGCTGTAGCTAGTGAACTAGAAGACAATTTAAATAGAACTGCAGTAGAAAACAGGTCTCAGACACACAGTTCCACACGACCTTTTCCAACCTCGGTAGCAGATGCTGAGACTAAAATTGCTGAAGTGCAGGCTGTTGATTTGCAGGACTCGGTAACAGAGGACGGGATTTCAGATACAGGCCATGATCATGCTGCTGAGACTCAGGAAGGGAAACACACACTGTCAGCCAGTCAAGAGGACCTGCATAATGGTTTATCCACAGAAATGAAAAATGGCATTTTGTCCTCCGAGGGGACAGCAGGCAGTCTGATGCTTGGTTCCCGATGTTTTAAGCCCTATCTAATTAATCCTTGTTACATCAAAACCACAACTAGACAACTGAGTTCTCCCAACCATTCACCATCTCCCTCCCCATCCCAGAGCCCACTTTTTACAAGGAGGCAGGAGTCCTTCCACAAAAAAGAAAAAGCCTCAATCAAGAAGCAGAGGTCTGCTAGTTTGGCAGGTTTATTTAGTCGTTCTGCAGACTGGACAGAAGAGATATCTAATCACAAGTGCGAGATAACGCAGAAGGTGGGCTCTGTGGGCTACTTGGAGCACAAGGGGTTTAGAGAGAAATTTCAAACAGAAAGAGTGCCTTTGACTCATTCAAGAAAGTCCTCAGGGGTGCAAGCTTCTACAGAGACATTTCCCAATGTCTTTTCAGGTGAGTGACATGTATTAAAGGTTTTTTTCTAGAGTCTTTGAAAAGATATTTAAAATACTTGAATTCAGTCCTTTGTGTGTACTATTGTCTTTACTTGTGCTGGCAGTTTTAAAATCGAATGCCTGATCTTACAAACACAGTCACATTTCATTAATGAGAATAGCCTTTCTATTCAGTGTCAGCCTGGCAGTACTGCCAGTAAAGGAAGTGCATAACTCTTTGAAGTTTTTCTTTCTGCTTTTCTTCTTTGACTAAATCCTGTAGGAAAAGGCTGGATGCCTTAAACTATTCTTGTTGAAAAATGCTAAGCACTGCACTGTTGTAGGCAGACCAGCTTTCCGCATAAATATATCTTTCAGATGCGAAGCTTTCTGTAACTGGGGTCCTGTTTGGGGTTTTCTTGTCCTAGGCGCTGTTCCGATGTACTGTAAATATTTGAGAGCTGCACCTGGTATTAGACTAAGGCAGTGATAAGGATTTGCTTAGTACCAAAAGGAAAAAGCCACGCAAGGCCAGATGGACAGCACTATAGAAAGGATCTAATTTCCCCTTCAGAAGGGGAAAAGAGGAGGAGAAAAAAATGTTAATGATGTGAAAATGCAGCATAAAATGGGGAAGGGAAACTGTGGGTACTACAATGTGGTAGCTGTGGCAGGCTGCTGCTCAGGCTACATAAGGTGACTCACTCAGGAAAGCATTCTTTTACCTTGCCTGTTAGGCAACTTGAATGTTCTCACAAAGGCATAGGAATACAGAACTTACAAATGAAATAGTGTTATATTTTTCTGCACTTTGAGGGTTTTTTCTCTTTCTCTTCCCCCAATCTGAAGTTTCTACATAAAGCTATGTAGTCAAATAGAGAAGGCCTCTGTCACACAGGAGGTATGTATGCAGAGGAAATTCAGCAACATACTCCATTTATTTTTCACTTAAGAAAACTGCAGAACTAAGAGAATACAGAGACTATGCCCTATGAGCATCCGTTACAAGATTAAACCAGCTGAATCTATAATCAAGTTTGTTTTGAAAGGAAGTCTGTTCTAGATGCGTGAACACAGTAACCAGATATGTACCAAGCTACTTGCAAAAAATGCAGTGAGAATCTTTTTGTGCTTTTATGAAGACTAAAAAAAAATAGTATGATTTATGAAGGGAGCAATGACATGATTTAAAAATCACACGTAAGAGAACAGTTAGGCTATCAACAACCATTTTGCATTAAAAGACTATCTTGTTTTATACTGTAGATTTTAAAAATTATATAAAGTGTAATCATTTGCATTCATAGTTTCTTGCTTTGTGCATATTCTAATCTGCTTGACATCACAGTAATAATATTGAATGAACCTCTCTGAAAACAGAAATTAAAATTATTTGGGTTTTTGTACAGCAGCCAACTCCAGGAGTTTGAAATACTCAGGTAAAGCATTAACATTATTTTCCAGATTCAAATCACAAGAGTACTTTCATTCTTCAGCAGTCTTGAGCAGAAATCTTCAATTTCAGTCTTGAAAATTAGAACTCAAGTTTTTAACACAAAAAAACAGGCCCCTCTGAAGTGAGCTGAATCTTGTGTGTGTGTGTGTGTTTTAAATCCCTTCCACCTGTTTTCTTAAGTTCAGACATCCACTGTCTGAAGTTTTACAATTTGAGGTGATCACTACTTTCAGATTTATAGCATGTAAAAAGCATAATTTTTTGCTGTCAGTATTTGACATCTTATAAAAAACTCAGAGAGCAAAGCTTTAAATTGCTTTATCAGTAATTAGAATTTCTTCTTTATGCTGGTGCTATGATGGAAATAAATTTTATATGGCAATCTTCAAGAACATGGAATTACTTTTTAGACATCTGTTTTCCAGGAAACAGACTTCTTCACATTTCCTCACAAGGTTTTGATTTACTTATTAGTAATTTTTCTTTTATTGTGTTTTCCCACCAACACTTTAGACTGTTATTGTGAAGGGACTAATGACCAATACAACAGTAGTTCTGACTCTTATGGAAATTACGGTGACCTTCATTTGCATGTACATACCAGCTGTCTTTACAGGAGGAGGACAATTACACTATTCAGTTCATGCAGAAAAGCTTGAAATGAAGGAACTGGAAATGACATGATAACACTTCATGTCTTTTTGATCATTCTTCTTATTTTTAAAAATATATTTACAAGCTGAAAATTATCAAGAATATGAAAATAAGAACTAGTGTACATGAAAAAGGGAAACTAACATTAGTATTCCCACAGATTGGCTGTTATTGCTGTAAGAGTAGAAAAGCCTCTTTATTTAAACCAATCTACACAGCAACAATTACAGAAATAATTTCATTCTAATTTGCATACTGCTTTTGAAAAATGTTGTCTTTTAATTGTGTGCATCAGATGCATCAATTTGGGGATTACCATCAGGCTTTTAGAAATAACATACTTTATAATGGCTCATTTCTATCTTTAAAAAAAAATAATCATCTTCTTGCCTAGAGCATTAAATCCCATCTTGCTGTGCAGCGACTGCAGTGTTGTTCTGCTTTTCTAACTAGCATCAAGTAAAATATTCCACAACACTTTAGTCATCGATTATAATGACAGCAGGTTCTAGGCAGATGACGGGCCTGCTTTTGCACTATGTTGTGGTTTGTCTGTGTGCCATTGGGTTTTCACAATGATCCATATGAACTCTTCTAAGGCTGTTTTGACATAAAATGTACATGGAAGCCAACAACAGGAATGGTAAAGACTTTGTTTATTTTAATTTTGGTTTATATAAGAAATAAGTAAAGTATGGTATTTCAAATTTGATGTATTGGCTAAGAATGTGGTGTGGACAAATTTATGGGTATTTTGTAATTCAGGCATTGGATCTATTTCTTTTATGATGAGGACAGCTGTATTCAAAATTGCAGTGACAGTAGTTACAAGTTCTAGATTACCTGATGCACAGTGGAGCCATGGCTTTTATGTTGTGGTCCCAGGAGGACAAGAGCTGAACCTGAATGAATAGGGTTGGCTCTCTCACTTTTTTATGTGGCAATGAATGATTTGCACTAGCATTTAAGAGAGTATCTGGGTGGGAAAATGAAACTGATGTTTCCAAACATCAACATAACTGAAGTGGAAGAGCTAACAGATTATTTAATAGAAAGGAGTTCATTCTAGCATTGATTTGAGGTGTAGTAATTGCAGAGGAGCTAGTGAGGGTGTCAGTTACATAAACTGAGTGTAGGAGTCCCAGCAGCTGCCCCAGATGGTAATTAAACTCAACCCAGGCAAACCCATGCTCTTTCTAATCTCTGTTTGCTGGCTATAATATACTTGCTGCATAGATCTTTTTCAAACAGACAGTTCATCTTTAAATGTCTCTTCAGAGACTTATATTTGTCCTGCTCTAGCTATAAGCAGGAAACAAACAAACAAAAAATCCTGGCTACCATAACCTGAAGTCAGTCCTGAGCTTGTGTGTCATGGATGGTTTCTGATTTCCATGGAGTACCGGCCTGCTGCTCGCAAAGGCCACTTTATCTCACTGTGCTAATGTCATCTGCACCCAGTTGCAGTTCCAGGGCAGTGTCTGAAGGCATGTACAAAGGTCTTAGTATAGATAAGTATGTGAAAACTTGAAAAAAACAGGATGAAAGGTTGTTTTTGAGACATAAAGTAGATTTTTTTAGATACTTTTTCAAGGTTTGGTGTTTGTTGTTTTGTTTTTTTTTCTTATTCTGATTCATGTGATGATGCACACAATATGGATTTGTATCTGCTGGCATCCTGAGGAGACTATTTATCATGCAACTGTTATTTAAGAGTACTTATGGTTTACTGTTTCACTGATGATGTTTGTTAGCAGTAATACAAATGTTTCTTTTATCAGATGGCAGGGCAGTGCAGCTGCTTCTAACTAATGGAGCTGCCCAACAGCACCCCTTCATGTGATGTGGGATCATGCGCTACACTGAGTGTTGCTAGTAAGCATCTGAAGGGAAAGATCCTCCTCTTTTTGCCTAGTAAACTAAAAGTGGGGGGTAGGGAGGAAGAGGGGGAAAGGGCTGCAATACTGTTCTCCATCTACAGTGAAATGTGTTTGAAAATGGGCTGCAATATGTTACTGGAAAACAAAGTGAGTGCTGATAAGTTGCTTTAACATTACCATGCCAGCAATGCAATATGGGGATTGGAGCAACACGAGTAATGTCACCAGCATACAGTGCTGCCATGGGGTTGTTTTGATGGGGCCTCATGATTAATGCTTTGGTGTTTATCTAGAACTTCATTGGGAGTAACAGGTTTTGGTCATGAGGTCGAGTGGCTGCATCTCTCCAGGAACCTCTTTCTGAGCAGCAACCCCATTCTGAGGTCTGACTGGCAGCCTGATTTGTGTCTGGAGTAGAAATGTATTGTCTTGGTTGCCTGCTGGTCTCCTTTGGAGTGCAAAGGGGGAAAGGCAAAGGAAAAGTTTACATCTGGAGGTTCATGCAGCTCTACTTGGATCTGAGACATAGTACCAGTATGATATCCATCACACTTGGGATCTGGCTGGAACTGGTCATTACAGGACATCGCATGCTTCAGTGATTTCATTTCTGTGAAAAGAGCAGTGGATTATACCACTGGGAACAGTTATATAGAATTAAAGTTTCAACATATATCTTGGATCTAATTGTGCTTTATTGTTTTTTTTTTTAATATTTATAAATTATATAATAGCTGGGGGAGTGGTTTGTCCTGGTTTTGTTTGGTTGTTTTTTAAACTGTGCATAGGCCTCCTCTTTGTAGAAAAAACTCTGTTCCTTGAAGCAGAACTCACCTTTTTCTCCATGCTGTAGTGTCTAAAGAAAAATAAACTTGGAATTGAAAAGCATCTCTAGGAATATTTTAGGCTGCCTGTATATGAGGGATCAAGTTCCAATGTGAATCATGATGATAGAAAATGCAAAAGTACTAATTAGCCAAGGTATTTTGTTTGTGCTGTAGTTTAACCAAGCTCAGGATATGGCCAAGT